TCACTTACAATTGCATCAAAAAGAATAAAATACATAGGAATAAATTTAACCAAGGAGGTAAAAGACTGGTACTCAGAAAGTATAAGACACTAAAGAAAGAAATTGAAGGACACAAATAACTGGAAGCCTCCTTGTTCATGTTCACCATGTTCATGAATAGGAAGAATCAACATCATGGAAGTATTAAATTGTCTATACTACCCAGATAAATCTTCAGATTTAGTGCAATCTATATCCAAATACTGATTTCATATTTCATAGAACTAGAACAAATAATCTTGAAATTTATAAGGAAATGCCAATGACCCTGAATAGCCTCAGTACAACTGAGAAAGAAGAACATAGTTTGAGGTCTCATGCTATCTGATATCAAACTATACTATAAGGCTATATTAATCAAAATTTGATACTGACATAAAAACAACACATATGTCAGTAGAACAGAATAGAGAACCAAGAATAAACCAATCCTTGTATTCAACTAGTTTATGAGAAATTAAGTAACAATATAGTCTAAAAACCATGTCTTCAATAAATGGTATTGGGAAAACTGTACAGATATATGTAAAAAAAGCAAATCAGACCATTTTCTTAGACTATAATGAAAATCAAAATAAAAAGGACTAAATATGTGAATACAAGACCTGACAATATAAAACCCTTAAAAGAAAACATAGGCAGTATGCTCTTTGAACACTTCGTAAGAGATGTAAGTATCAGTATGTTGTTACACTTGAAATTAGTATAATATTGCATGTCAATTATAAATGAAAACTGAATATATTAAAAATTTAATATATCACCTTAATAGATGCAAAAAAGCAGTTGACAAACTACAATATTCTTTCATAATAAAAATTTTTAACAAATTGAGTATAGAAGAAACATACCTCAACATACTAAAGACAATATATGACAAAATCACAGGTAACATACACAATGATGGAAAATTGAAAGCTTTTTTTTTTTTAATCAGGAATAAGATCAGGGTGCTCTTTCACTATTCTTATTCAACATAGTAGTTAAAGTTTTAGTTAGAGCAATTAGGCAAGATAAAGAAAAGGCATAAAAATTAAAAAAGAAATAATACTGTTATTATTGCAGACAATATGATCTTTTTAAAATTAAATATATTGGGGTGACACTGGTTAATAGGATCATATAGGTACAATATGATTTTATATATAAAAAATTCTAAACACTAGACAATAAATTGTTGGAACCAGTCAATAAATTTAGTAAAGTTTTAAGATATAAAAGCAGCATACAGAAATCAGTTGTGCTTTAACAAAGAAGCACTTGAAAAAGAAATTTTAAAAAAACTAATTTATTCACAATAGTATGAAAAACAACATTTAGGGGTAAATTTAAGAGGTACTATAAGATCTGTAGAATAAAAACTACAAGGCTTTGATGAAAGAAATTGAAAAGAACACAAACAAATAGCAGATATCCATATTTATGGATTAGAAGAATTAATACTGTTAAAATGCCCATAGCACTAAAAGTCATCTATAGATCTATAGATTCAACACAATCCTTATCATAATTCCAATAGCATTTTTCACATAAATATACAACCTTAAAATTTGTGTTGCCCCATAAAAAAACCTCAAATGGCCAAAGAAATCCTGAGAAATAAGAACAAAGCCAAAGGCATCACAATTCTTGATTTCAAACGACACTACAGAACTACAGTAATTAAAACAATATGATGCTGGTATAAAAAATAAGACACATAGACAAAGATATCCAAGAAATAACCTTCTGAATATATGGTCAACTAATATTTGACCTAGAAGCCAAGAACACTCAATGCAGAAAAGATCATCTCTTCAATAAATGATGTTGGAAAACTGGATAAACACATGCAGAAAAGTGAAATTGGTCCCTTATCTTATACCACTCACAAAAATGAACTCTAAATGACTTAAATTTTTAACATAAGATCTGATACTCTAAAAGTAATGGAAGTAAATGTGGGTAAGAAACTCCTTACCAGTGCTAATAGTGAAGATTATTTTTTTGGATACAACACCAAAACACAAGCAACAAAAGCAAAAAGCAAATGGGAGTACAGCAAACTAAAAAGTTTCAGTACAGTGATAGAACAAAAAAAAAAAGAAAGGATAACATGCAGAATGGGAAATATGTTTGCAAATCATATATTACATAAGGGGTTAATGAACGAAATACAAAAATACAAAAAATTAAATTAAAAATGGGCAGAGAAATCGATAGATATTTTCCCACAGAAGATATCCAAATGGCTAACAGAAATGAGAAAAGATGCTGAACATCACTAATGATCAAGAAAATGCAGATGAAGCCACAAAGAGATATCATCTCATTCCTGTTACAATGGCTTTTTAAAAAAGAAGATAAGAGAGAACAATGGTTGGCACAGATGTCAAGAAAAGGGAACCCTCATGTAATGTTGATGGCAATATAAATAGATTGGGCCACTATGGAAAAGAGTATGGAGGTTTCTCCAAAAGTTAAAAACAGAACGATTAATAATTCCACTCCTAGGTATATATGATCCAGCAATTCAGCTCTTGGGTCTAGATCCAATGGAAGTGAAAACATATGCTTCCAATGGAAGCATATTGAAGATATATACACACTCCCATGTTTATTGCAGTAATATTCACAATAGTCAAGATTTTACATGTGCACACACACATTGGAATATTCTTAGTCTGCTATAATGTAGTGCATTGCTTTTTCTTTTATTTTGGAGTGTTAAACCAGATTTGCATAACTGAGATAAATCCCACTTGGTTGTGGTGAGTCATTCTTTTATTCATTGTTGAATTCAGTTGGGTAGCATTTTGGTCAAGAGATAAAAAACCCACCATTTGGACAGTCAATCTAGGCTTAGAGACCTTGGCAAATGTCTGTTATGCCCTCACTGAACATATAATCCAGTGGTATGCTGAAACAAGTACTGGCTTGTGAGTACAATTTGCTACATTTTCAGGAATTTTGTAAGGCAATTATTAAGCACAGTCATGAAAAAATGCACTTCATAGGAGTCACATCAGCAAATATTATGTATAAGGGTAAATGGTTCTAAGGGCCTACCATTCTACTGAAACAATGAACAAGCAAGAGAACAACCATCAGAATCAACTTTGTTGGAACTCTAGAAAATAGCCAAAAGTTTATAGCAACCAAATGAATGCTGAATAAGGAAAAAGCAACTTAAAAATGCTTGAGGAGTGTTAAGGCATTTTTATTTGTCCTTGGCTCACCCTCCTTCTTTGCTTGATAGAAGTCTTGAGGGTAACAGCCCATATTTCCATTATGGGGCCATGGTCTCTGCTTCCAGAGGGAGGAGAGTAGACCTGTTCTCAAAGAACTGTGTTTGACAGTTTGAGTATGATGGGGGTTATCAGAAAGGACTAATATAAAGCAGATTTGCCTTTGTTTTGCCTGGCACAGGGCTTTCTTAGGGGCAGAAAAGCAACCAGGTGGAGGGCATTCACTGAAAACACAGAAAGGTAAATCAACAGCCCTTACTGCCTTGGGGAAGAGATTAAGGTTGACACAGGCAGACATGCTGCTGGACACCTGGGAGGAAAGACTGGGGAGAGATTTTTGTGTGGAAGTAAAATGCTAAAAAGCTCCTGTGTCTAGGAATTTAGAAAGTAAGGTGCAGACTCCCATATATAGGAATTTAGATAGAAAGAACTGGGGAAACTTAGGGCAGGAAAAAAGATTGGAAGACCCTAAGCTTTTTCCTTTAATTAACCCTTAGGCTCAGGACAAGCAGGAAATGAGGGCTAAGGCCAAGTGGTAGTAACAGCCTTAATAACTAAGCATTGAGGAATGCTAAACACTGAGCCATCATGTAAAGAGAGGTTTGTTTTGGCCCCAGGCGTTCAAGAAAATTACTATCAACATATGAACTTACCATAAATTAAGAAACACTCTTCAGAGACCACTCATCACAAATACAGTCTTTATAGAAAAAACTAGAAAAGTCACTAAACAAATAACCATGACCCACAGCAAGCAAGAAAACCAGGCCTTGACCATGAAGAATATGACTTCCAAAGTTATCATATAATAGTTATTCAAAATCTTTATCTTCACATAAAAAATTAAAAAGCATGCAAAGAAACAATAAAAATGGGATTCATTCATAGGAAAATTAACAGAAACTGTTCGTGAGGAAGAAAGTCACAGGGCTTATTTGGCAAGGACTTTAAGTTAACTGGCTTAAATATGCTCAAAGAGCTAAAGGAGACTACTGACAAAGAGCTGGAGGACACTAGGGGAAAGCTATCCTCAAAAGAGTGACAACCAATAAAGGGATGAAAATTATGAAGAGACAAAACAAACTGAAGTTAAAAATTATAGCACCTTTAACAGAAACCTAATCAACAAAACAAACAAGCAAAACACAACCAAAGACACTGACCCAAAATTGAGAACAGGCTGACAGTGACCTGAGGGGAGAGGGGAGGGAATTTCAGGGGAAAAGGGTGAAGGTTTTGCAGGAACAATTATAAAGGACACACACACAGTAACGGGTGGGGTGGGGGCTGGGGTGGGTGGGAGAAAGCAGAAAACAGTACTTTAACACAATAAAAAAGTTTAAAAAAAAAGAATCGAGCAATGAATGCATAAATAAGTGAAACAACAGCAAAAAAATTACAGCAGCTGAAACAAAGAATTACAACATGTCAACATAAGAAGATCTGAACTTGTAGAAAATTTTTATGAGAGCTTATGTGAACCAAACTGATGTCATCAGGAAAGAAATATCTCAAATGTTCCTTGAGAGTAGTTTGCGTCCAAGGGCCTGAGAAAGAGGATTTATTCTGGCATTTCAAAGGCGTATTAACTTAGTTACACAAGAACAATGGACAGAGCTTGTCTTTTTCCTAAAGAAGTTATAGGTATAAGGCCCTAGCTGAGTTACTCAGCTTGTTGTAGCATCATCCATACATCATAGGGTTGTAGGTTTGATTCACAGTCAGGGCACATACCTAGGTTGTGGGTTCAATCCCCAGTCAAGATGCATACAGGAGGCAACTGATCAGTGCTCCCTTCACATTGATGTTTCTCTCTATCTCTTCCTCTTTTTCTAAAAGAATCAGTAAAAAAATACCCTTGGCTGAGGATTAAAAAAAATTAAAAAACAAGAAGTTGTAGGCGTGGGGCATGGATTGTCCATCATGACCTGCCAGTAATGTGGGAAGCTTTGGAAAACCTTTGTTCACCAAAACCCCAGGCACCCTGGGAGAGTGATAAGTCCGTCTGGGAAAAGCAAACAGCAGGATAGTCACAAGGACTGGGGCTAGCACCCCCACAGATAGAACTAATTCTCACATTTAGCCTTTGTACTCTGCTTCTGCCCCGTAGATAGAATAATTACCGCATTCTGCTTCTGTATCCTGCTTTGCTATGTAGACAGGAAGACCCTGTAGGCTATATAAACCCCAAGAATCCTTTGTTCGGGGCTCAGAATTTGGAGACTGACTCCTCTGAGCCCGTACACGTTAATAAACCTCGTACTCCAGAATCCCTCGGTGTCTGGTTCCTTCATTTTCCTGTAACACCAGTTAGAAATTTATGATCAGATTACCTTGTGAGATTACTTTTAGTCTCTGGTTTATTACAGAACCTTTTGTTGTTATTGTTGTTCAAAAACATCAGACTTGAGCAGACAGAATTTAATATCATAAAAGTTGATGATAGGTCAATTGCAATAATTCTGTCTGTGGAGCAGAAAGACAAAAGAATGAAGAAAAATGAGGAGAGACTGTAAGACCTGTGGGACACCATCAACCTCAAACACACATCATGGGAGAACTGGGAGGAGAGGAGAGGAGAGGGAGAAAGGGGTGGGAAAGAATTTTGAAGAAACAATGGCCAAAAAAGTAACAATTTGGTAAAATACATGGATCTACACATTTAAGAAGCTCAGTGAATTTCAGCAAGGACAAATTGAGACACATTATAATAAAACCTTTGAAACAGAGAGAGAAAAAGGAGGGAATTTGGAAAGCAACAAAAGAGAAGTGACTTTTCATGTACAAAGAAGCCTCAAAAAAAAAAAAAAAAAGCAGCAGATTTCTCAGCAGCAACCACAGAGACCAAAATTCAGTGGAATGACAAATTTAAAGTAGAAATAAAAGAGAGTCAGTCAATTATCCTGTATCTAGCAAAGCTGTCATTCTATAATGAAGGAGAAATTAAGACTTCCCAGAAAAGCAAAGGCTGAGGGACCTTATCACTAATAGATATATCCTACAAAAAGTGCTAAGGGGAGTCCTTCTGGTTGAAATAAAAGGACACTAGATAGTAACTTGAAGCCATATGAAGAAATAACACAGGTAAAATTACTATTTGGGAAAATAAAAGACAATGTTACTATATTTTTGGTTTGTGAGTCCCTTTTCAATCCAATTTGATTGATAAGATGAATGCATAAAACAATAATGATAAATCTATATTGTATGGGCAGACAATGTATAAAGATTTAACTTTTGACACAACAACATAGGAACAGAATTTTTGTATACTTATGGAAGCTGGTGTATTATTAATTCATAACAGATTGTTATAAGGTTAGGTTAATTATAAACCCCAGGGTAACTAGTACTAACATAATTAAAAATATACAGAAAAAGAAGTTATAAAGGAATCAAACTGATATTTCATTAAAAAATAAGAAGGCAGTAATGGGAGAATTGAGGAAGAAAAAAAGATGACCTGCGAAATACATAATAATATCGCAGGAATTGTCCTTCTTTTACAGTAATTGCCTTAATGTAAAAGAATTAAACTCTCCTATTAAAAGGTAAAGATTCTCAAAATGGACTAAAAGAGTTACCTTTTGATCTTTCTGAGGTATTAACAAAAGATTATATAGTCATACTCAGGATAAATTTACCGAATCATAGTGAATCTCTTAATCCTATTGTGTTTTTCTTTTAGAGAAACTGAGAAATTTCAAAATTATGAGGCCTTGGTTTCTTTTCTAAAACAATTATTTTTTCAAGCTATCTCTTTTCTCAAATTGTATTATAAGCAGCAAGAAGAAATCAAGGGGCACTTATAACACTTTCCTTGGAAGTTTCCTAAAATATGTCACCAGCTTGTAAGTTTTGCTTTGTACATTACTTCAAGACATAATTTTGGTAAGCTTTCTGCCACTACATAATAAGAATCTTTGTATTCATCTTATGTCATGTTCCTCACTTTTTCTGAACCCTGACTGCAAAATTCTTAAAGTCAAGATTTCTTCTATCAGCCTATTCAAGGCAATTTAGGTTGTCTCTGTCGTGTTCTTTAAAATTCTTTTAGCCTCTGCTCACTTGCCTGATTCTAAAGCTCTTCCCATGTATTAAGGTATTTGTTACAGCAGCTCCTACTTTGAGGCACCAAATCTGCATTCTCATATTGTTGTATAACAGAATGCCACAAACTTAGTGAGGAGAGCAGCACTAAACTAAAGTGGTGTCAGCCCTGTCAACTAAGAAGCCCTGTTTAGCACACAGGCATTGGAGCAATGACTCAGAGGGGTAGTACAACTCTGTGAGCATGTGGAGTTGTAGGAAATGGTAGAGAGCATGTGCTTATTTGAGAGGTAATATCAACCTCTCAGAGCATGTTCAGTGGAATGACATGGAAAATGTGTAGTTATCTGAAGGGTAACACCACCCTGTCAGAGCATGAGCAGTAGAGCGACTTAATCAGCATGTGCTTATTGAGGTAGCACAAGACAGTGTGTGTTAATCATATGCTAATGCAGCTGTACATCATACCAGGATATAATAGCAGAGGCCTTTGAGCAGACAGCTGAGACAGTGAGAGGGAGAGAACAGCACACTGCTGCTCTGATCAACCCTGCTCTAGCTCTGAAGTCACTGCTGACTCTGCCTTGCAAGACATGGACCAGCTACCTCTCAGACCTGTACTGTGATCTGTACTCTTGGGACTTGGGATCATTGTCCCCAAATTTTTTCATGTGAGGTTATTGCTGATTATTTCTGAGTGATTATTAATGTTATTTGGTTACTATAAATTTGAATCAAATCTGCGTTAATAAAGGGTGAGTGAACAGCATAGTCACCTGTGTTGTCTCACTCTTATTCCTTGGCACCATCTTATTTGTGGCCACATGGGTAACCTGGCACTTTTGGTCCCTAAGGCCAGGGTCGGTAGAACAAATGGGGAGGTCAAGGGTTGACTTATATAAAAGACTATGTTGCAAAATATTTGCTTGTGACACTTAGTATTTTAACACACACTATATCACAATTTCTGTCAGCAGTCTGGCTTGGTTTACCCGTGTCCTCTGCTTAAGGTCTCACAAGGTTGTGTTAGGCCCGGAATTAGATAAAAGTAGCCAACAGGAACAAGGAACTCGAGGCAGAGTCCAGATAGAAAGTACAGAAAGTACAAAGAGTGCTGAACAAGATAACCTTGACCTTGTCTTTGCAGAAAAGTATCCACTGCTGCAAGCACAAAGCATAGCCATGTGTGTTCCCTCGAGATGGCCAATCACTAACTGCCAAGTCTGCTTCTGTATTTGCTTGCTTGCTCACCCCAATAAAAACCCCAGGCTGTAAGTGCCAGGCGCGACTCTCATTTGCAGCCTCTTGGCACCGTGTCTCCGAACACCTGGAGAGTTCGCCCCTGCGCAGGTAAAGCTTTGGCCAATAAAGTTCCATCTTAAACCCCTGAAAGCTTCCGACCATTTGTTGCTGGCGTTGGTGGATGCCACAGTTGCAATCTAGGAGTTGACTGAGCTGTATTCTCAGTCAACTGGAGCCCAGTTGTCTCAACGGGAGAAAAGCTGCTTCCAAACTCATACATGTTGGCAGAATTAATTTCCTTGTGGTTATAGAACTAAGGTCCCATTTTCTTTCTGTCTGTCACTGGGGCTGCTCTCAGCTCCTGGAGACTGCCTACAGTTCTTTGTTCCTTATGTCTTCTCTCAGTGTAGCAGCTTATATCTTCATGCCAGGAGGAGAGAAAATTATTGGACCTAAGGACAGGGCCCAGTCTGTCCTTAAGGGCTTTAACCTGGTTAGGTCAAGCTGGATAATCTTCCCTTTGGCTAACGCAAAATAAACTGGCTTGCAAACTTAATTGCATCTGAAAAAAATCCCGTCTACTATTAGCTAGAAGCAAGGGGAGGGCACAATACAGGACTTGAGTCATGGAGCTACCCTTGTCTGTGTGCCAATTAACAAAGCATGTAAAGTACTTTTTTCAGTGTTCTACTTATAGTAAGTGCTCAATAAATGTTAAAGGACTAAGGTCCCACTTTCTTTCTGTCTGTTGCTGGGGCTAACATTTTTTTCTTTCTTCTCTGTTTTAAAATTCTATAGTCCCTGATGGAAACACAGCCTCAGGGCAATGTGAGACTCAATGAGCTAAATTCCATCAAAGGGAAGGAGGACCTAAAGGGAATTGCCACCACAAAGTCAAAGGAAAGTCTCCTTCTCCTAGACAGAATAGAATGTCTAGCAATTTAGAAAAGTCTGGAAAGAGAAGCTGTTACCAGGGACCTAGAAGAGGTAAACAAAGAACGTATAAGGAATGAGCATGCAGATTGGGTTTTAGGGAATTTTTCAGTGTGATAGAGCACAAAAAGTAAAGTAATTAAGAGGAAATGATAGCTCTAAGGAGTGTATCCCAATGAATGAGGTAGGTACGGCTGCTATCTGGGGAAACAAATAACCTTCAACATATACTTTGTCACTCCCACTTCAGTGTTTAAATGGTATAAGGAACTGGGAGTTCAGTTGGCTCAGGAATTGTAGCTTGGCTATTGAAGATATGAAATGCATTTGGTGCCTCCATTTCTTTTCAGGGAGTAGAGATAAATCTGCTGAGATGATTTCTGGTTAATTTGACCTTAAAACCAAAGTACCCATGAATCTGGCAAGTGTTTCCAGGAAAACATAAGGGAAAGAGACACATGCTGCTTGAATGGGATGAATAAGACCTGAGGACCTGAGGATCCTATAGCACTGGGAGTGGAAATGTAGAAAAAACAGTAGCTCCCAAGAGAGAGCTCTCTCTGATCTTCAGGAGGCTATGAAGATTGAAAGTGGAATGGCAGACACG